AGATAAAGACATTTCGAAACACCTCCCTTCCTTGACATACCTGCAGTGTCAACTGAGACAATTCTACTTGTGGTATGGCCAGATGTTAGATTCCTGAAACTTTCAAGGTTCGAAACCCACGTTCTACAATGACATGTAAAAAAAACTCAAATCTACATGTAGGTGTTTCCATCCTCATGGTCAACGTTGACCTCACCAGTGCCCCAGAAAGTGAGCTAAATCGCATGACAACCTTTTCTTACCCCTTACGACAGCTACTTCTGAACCCAGCGATGAAGGCCCCTATACCATCAGTTGCGGACAACATTCTTCACACCATACCACAACATTATTACAGCCATGACTTTGCTGGTGCTGAAGTAGAAATTTGAAATTAGTCCGAATCTGCAATCTTGCTATAACAATGGCCTACTCACCCCTTCAACCGACTTGCAATCGGATAATATCCTTGAAATGAGTAAAAATACAATTTCTGTTATGAATCAGAGCAGATTCTAAATGAGAAGCTAGCTTGCGCAAAAGCAGTACTTTTATTCGAAAACAATACCACAAAATATTGGAAACAAGTCATGATGAACCCGCAAAAATGCTCAAAATTCAAATTAAAAAGCTCTTCTATTACAGCCTAACTTCAACATAACTGTGATCTGTACATATTATTCATTCCTACGAGAAAAAGCTATGGGATTCAAATCAAAACGAAAGTATTACATTTGCCATAAGGGCCATAATGGGGGTAACGTCACCAAGCATTAATTAGTACGGAGCTTAACGCTTGGGAACATTTTAGAGACGTGCCCCACGGAAGGCCAAACGAACATTACCTCCAGAATACATGCCTTAACAAAACAATGGCAAAAAAAGGTTTAACGAACCCATCGTTCACACCTGGTATCCATATGAATATCACGGCATGCTATTGAACAATAAGGCGTACCACATCTTATACAGGAGTAAATACCGACATCTCCGCAAGGAGCGCAAAACTTCCTACCCGCCACTTTTGGAGCCGGTGCAGTAGCTTTGAAAAAGGCTCGATACAATCGTTTGTTCTTTCGATATTTCTGATTCGCCTCGTCAAGAGCTGAAATGAAATTCCGAAATCGTCGTGCTTTGAACTTCCTTCTTCTCTTGGCCGGATTGGGACCACCACTGACAGCCGCAGCAGCGGATCGTTTTCTATTCCCTTTCTTCTTGGGACCACCAATCATTTCGTCTTCAAAGTTCGGCAAATCTTTTCGCCAAACAATATTCGCATGTGGATCTTCGTGAGCATTGTCCTGTTCGAGTTTGGCGAGTTTCTGGTTGGTCAGCGATGATCGTTCGGCTCCATCAAGTACTCGAGCTGCTTCTTTAGCGGCAAATCGCGCCGAATGTCGGAGTTTCGTCGTGCGAACCACGGGACGCCGGAACATCTATCTGAAAAAGTACACCAACTACAAGAGTAAGGAGGATAATAAGCGATTCGTACGATCAAGAAACGTCCCAATAAGAACAGTGTGGGGTGCCATCCATTAGAAGATTTGCTATCAAAGAACATGCATTAATCTCTCAATGTCAAATTCAAAAAAAGTGCAATGGGATTCAAACTCATCAAAAGAATTACTAGGACCTAAGACCCACCCACATGGGCTCGACAATTCATTCTACCCTACCGTTTACTTTTTACTGCTTCACAAATCCAAGTATTTAACTGGCTTCCGCGATGCAAACTGCCCTCACTACATAAAAAGGCGAGTCCAATTCAAAGACCTCCCTCCGAAACTCGCCCAGTCATACTCTGAATCCGATACCGCCAATCATACCGTATTCTTCCTCCTGTTCTATTTCTAATAGTATAGGCTCAGATGCTTCCGCATCTATGATATCATCAAATAGATTCCTCCTGTTCATCAGGGCCAACTCTAAGTAGTGCTTCAGCTCCGTAACTCCTACTACCGTACTCTATACAATGACACTTCGCAAGAACTTTTTCTCACGAGTTCTCCTTGGCTTTTTCTGTCGTGCACTCTCATGGTCAGCACAAACGACCAAAAGTGTAGTAAATCCATAAAATGGTCAAACATTAAGATAAAGAAGTACCACTGTAGCCTGTCAATTAGAAATGGTTCACAAAGAGCCGTTTGCTACAACAGCTACAATATGTTTTCAATGACAAACATCAGGCCATCAAAAAAGATGTCTGGTGTTTCGCCGCCACACTCAAATAGCCGAAGTCTGTAAAAAAAATTTCCAAATAAACTGGAGTTCAACCTGTGCTACTTAAAACACTGAAAACCGAAAAACAACTTTATCGGAATACTAAACAAAATTTTGTTTTCTACATATCTATTCAGACAGATTCTGGATCAGCATCAATAGCCTTGAACCAATGTCCACATTCACATCTCTTTGGCACTCCTTTGCGAATAACCATGAAATTTACGTGTCCAGAATCGGGTTCGCCTTAAAAATAGACAATATTAGGTCCTACCGGAACAGCTAGCTAACTTGCTTTTATTTTAATTGCCAATGCAAACCAATTTTTCTGTGTTTTCGCACCACAATTCTAGTCATTGCTGTAAATCGTTGGTGAAAACACAAAAATCATCATTCGTACTTAAAGTATCCGGAGATTACAGAGGTTTAATCATTTCAAGACTTCAAACTTTCTCTCGAGTATTATAAAAGTAGCATAACAAACTTACACATGCACCCTACAATCCTGTCGGGAAAGTGTGACGGGACAAGATTAGGCCTTTCTTTCGTGGACGTTTCAGCACGATAATATACTTTCGGCTCGTAGCGCTAAACATTACTCTTATAAAACTGACGCCAACTTGAGAAATAAACCCAAAAACTTTGTTCACCGTTGACAAGCTTGACAACATTAGTAAGAAAATTAAATTGATGAAAGATAATGAGCAACACCTTGTGAGAACGACCATAAAAACCCCAACAGATCTGAGATAGTCATTCTACCGAGAGAATATCGAATAGATTTTTGTTTAGTGGATTATTCTCGTGAATTTTACGAACAAGATGTGAGAATTAAACATAACCATGACTGCAAATCACTCGAAGAAAGTGCTACCAGACAACTTTTCTGGGCTTTCATCATGAGAAAATTTTCCAAATTCAACTTTACGCATTCAACATTACGTGATCGGTCGGTGGAGGAGGGGTAACTGCAAAAAAACACCACTCCACGCATTTTCGGCAGTTGAATCCCATGACCTATCAAACGTTGCCTTTCTATTGTAGGAGAAGGAATGTAAGAAATTTGTTTGAAGGGGTCTAAGCATTGAATCATTGATCAGCTCACTCCCTTAGATAACTACGTACGAAAATATACAGAAAACCACTAAAATTCTGGCTAAAAGTCGAACGTCAACTCGTTCTTGAACTGAATCACTTAATAGCAGGGGTTCACACACATTTTCTTCTTTCAGCAGAGTCGCAACTTCACAAAATATAACAGAAAGTATAAAGAGGAGTATCAAATACTTGGAAAGATGGAAGCGATAAATACATATCGACATCTACAAAGAGTCGCGACTCCACAATAAGTTAATCAACGTGGTAGTAATGAAATATGATATCGATATAAGAAGTTGCGGCATTGTAGAGCAACTAAACACTTTAACTTAATGAAACCCAGTAACATTATATCAAGCTGCTTAACAGTATTGAAACCTATCTGAGCATAATCCCGACTATCTGCTTTGCACTTTTTTAAATTAAGTCACCGAAACTGCCAAACAGAAAAAGGAAAGATCCTTCAATAATCTGATCAAACCAATTTGAAAATTTAATGAAACCTTATTACTCTTAGTGGATTTGATAAAAGACTGTGATAATGTCAAAGTTTACTAGATATTGAACAATACGCATAACAAAAACAAATAAATGAGTCAAAACCCACATCGTCTCCTGCAAGACGCGCTAGGAGCATTTTCTTCTCACGGCCCGTGGCGTGCTCGAGAGGATCTGGGTAATAACCATAGTCTTCAGGTGAAGCCTCTGTAGCCAAAGAACGACGTGGAACAACAGCAGGCATCAATGTACGCTTTGAAAGCGATGACAGAACTGTACGAGCTGTCAGCTGCGCCATCCTAGAAAAGATAGTATGAATTCATAATAATGACAGTAGATATACTTTCCTTCCCCTACATAAACTTAAAACGCTTAAGGACTTTTTAAAATGTTAAATCTGTAGAAAAAGCGAAACAAGCGAATAACTTCAATAACATCGCATCACAGTATAATACCAACACCCCATACAGAATGGATTACCACCGCACAAGTAGGATGAACCTTTTTACAGGCACATTTGAACAATCAAACAAAAAAATTGTTGGCATCTAGCCGAAAATCGCAATAATTTCAAGCACAATTTTTTTTCGGCTGAAAAAAAGGCGAAAAGAAGTCAACTTTTCTAAAAAGAAGGAAAGTCATAGAGAATCTCCGATCCCACGTTTGCAACTATTGTTAACACGAGTGGGATTCGTAATGGACGCAAAAATCGCAATGCTTGCTTTGCTTTTTTACGTGAGTGATTGATATCACGCTACATTTTTAGACCAAAAATGCTCGAGTGTCAGACAATAAGGAAACAAGATGGCGACAAGTTGGTTGAATACAAAAAGAAGGTGATGATGATGCTCTTTTAATTAACAAATGGACATCAACACGAGTGTAATTAAATAAGCAGTAGTAAGACATGTGATGATCATGTCTTAATTGATTTTCACTGATCAACAATTCACGAGTGAACACTTCCAATCGTAATGAACAATACAAATAGTACAAGAAACCAAACTATCATCAAGAAAATCCCACTTAAAACGTGCGAAAACCTTCTTACGCTCAAGTTTGCAACACCCACGGTCTGTGGGATAACCTAACCATATTAATTTCAAAAATCCCTTAACAACGTCTATACTGCGTACACAAATCGATACCGCTCAACTGATCAAATAAGTACGAAAGTCTCATTGACGATGAGGGGTATCGTCGTAAGACCACCATTGCAACAGGAGCGCGTTATTTGAGGGTCGCTGATCGGTGACGACCTCAGCTACTCCACATGATTTACAAGGTATTTGTTCTCGCTAACGTTTTTTCAGAAGGTATATCGAGGATTTGGAGTACTAAGCCTACGATTCACAGATTAACAAGAGAGAAGCTTGATACACTTGACAAAGGGGGGGGGGGGGGGGGGAAAAAAAANACTTCGTTTCATTTCTCAATTTCCGTTCTTACGCAGACCTGGGCTTGGTAGAATACGAGGATGGGTCATGGTACGCCAGTGCTGCCGNAACTCTGAAAAAGCCGGCTTATAAACTTTTGATTGGAAAAATGTAAGGTAAGTAGATCCGAACAAACAGGCACCATAACAGATATTCGAGTCAGAATCCACAGACAATCACTGTCAAAAGCCTGGGAGATCTGGAGCCTGTCCAATTACGAACTATAGTGTTACAAATTACAACTTGTTGCCGCTCTGCGATAAATTCCCAAGGAGCGAAGAGAATTCTCAGTGAATCACGCAAACCGACCGATAATTTTCTGGGATTCAAAGAATCTCTGGTCGTGGCCGTGTGTGCCAATCTCTTCCCTGACTTTCGACCCACATGCTCACGTTTCTGGGCGGTAACAAGTAACACGTAACCGAACGTCACCACGAAAACTTGAAGGTGCCGGTGGATACTTGTAAAGAAACAGAAATGAAGGTGAAGTGTAGTCGGCGAGGTGTAGCACAACAAGGACTTATTGCGGTTCTACATGTTAGTCCGTGTTCTACCAGGGAAATGTAGTTTTTTATCGAAGCTTGAGTAGGAAAAGAACACCGGGGTGAGCGAATTGACTGAATGTTCAATTCTTACCCCATCCCAGCTTTTTGCACAAGGTAATAATCTTACCCAACCCAGTACTTCTCCCCTCCTAAGACTTAGTGGACAGACTGTATTCCTCTGGCTAAAACCGCATGAGAGCGCACAGATGACCATCCTCCTCTTTCTGACAGTGCGGGTATAACACGGAATAACATGTACCAACGTGTTAGTTACTTCTCATACTACCACTGTTATGCATACCTCCTCCCCCTAACTACACCTTCCCCGAGACGAATATCCAGGACATAAATCTCGGTATTACAGTCCAGCGGTGGATCCTGATTCAAACACCTAATGTAGACTGATGGCTACCTACCCTCATGGTGCCAGTACCTCTGTGACGAGCTCGGTAGATGTACAAAAAAGGTTCGTAGAAGTGAATGTATGTTGTTTGATGAAATGGTGGTTTCTTCATTTTCGTGACCTTGCTCGTACTCTCTCAATGATCCTCTCTTGAAGCTTAAATAAACAATTCCATCCCGCTGGCACAGAGTCGCTTCTAAACATAACTACATGCTCACAGTGGAGTGATCCAATTCAGTTACATTTTCACGTGTTGTTTGTAAGGTTACTCGCTTGTGCAGTTTACGCCAAGGATACTGTAGGAATCTAGTTCTTGTCATAAATTTTCGTTGCTGTCGTAAAAGTTGACGGACGACTGATTTCAGAGGAGAACTACTTAGCATGAACTTACTCAAGTCAAAGAGGGGCACCGGACTTGAGCTGGTTAGTCTTCAGGGGATTTGGCACCCAAGGTTGGAGTGTTCAAAATACTTTATTTAAATCGAAGATGATGTATGTGTCGTTGATTTCTTCAAACCAATTGCCTTGGGCTTCTTACACCTATGCAGGAACTTCGACTCGCGCCACGGTACGCACCTTCCCACCACATCGTATGCTTGTCATTATTCGTTGCTAAAAGTGAATCGATGAAATCAATCAATAAAACTGATCAATTACATGTCAAAACTAAATAATGATGACGACGAACGTGTGGTGTTGGTCGCAGAATACCCTGACGCTTGTTAAGCTTCTCGGCCATTTCTGGATCGTTTTTGGCTACGGATATCACCTAAAAGTGATCCTCTCCTACAGGGCTGACTTATAGGAGAAGAAGCTTTATTTAAAAAGTTAAATATAGATATATTTATATTTAAAAAACGAGACGGTTGCTACGTCACTTCGTTTCATTTCTCAATTTCCGTTCTTACGCAGACATGGGGAAGAATACGAGGATGGGTCATGGTACGCCACCGCTGCCGTCTCACCGAAGATGGGCTGCTGTGCACAGCCGCCGCGTAGGCTATTCTTTCAGGATCTGCATCTTCAATTCGTGATCTCTTAGGCTGCAGTAGGCATGACGGTCTAGTTCTGACTTGACGGCCTTTATGGCGCCTCCTGACCCACACCAAATCATGGCAGAGCGAGTTTCAAGTGGCAACTGCTGCTTTTTGAGCACAGCTGATCCCTCCTTGGCCTAACATCATCTTTTCACAAGTTCAGATATAACTCACCATCGAACCGTCTGTATAGTCACGCATGTACTGTACCGCATGAGTACTGGAAATGTATGATAACGAGACCATATGCAAATTTGGCATTGAACAGTCATGGGAGCATATAAACCATAAAAGTAGTGCAGGTAGATCTTCGCTTTGCTGAAATGAGCATTAGGGTTACCGTTGACTACAAACAAATCATAAGTAGTTTTTATACTTTTTTCTTGGTCTATTATTACAGCAGTACACAGAAACCGGTGGTCTATTAGTCTGTGAGAGCGTGGATTCCAAGCCCATGTTGAGGGAAACGGCTAATAACCTGTTCTCCTTTCGCACATGACGTCAGTGAGGTGCAAATAGACAAAACTGCGGACCGAAACAGACAGACAAAGATAGGTCGACAGAGGTAGATGAATGGACGAAAACAGTCAGACACTGTATAGAGACTAACCGACAGGAGTGGAGAAATGACAGGTAGACAGACAGACAGAAGGGCAGATAGGAGG